GACTGTGTCATCGTCCTTGGCTCGATGTTTGGAGACGTTGCTGCGGAATGGCGATACAGGGGTCACAGAATAACACGCGGGTTTACTAGGCGCGAGTTCTAGGGCGTAGGACCGATACTCCGCGACCACAAGGGGCGTCAACAGCAGGTCACACCTAACGCGTAATACCAACCCCGAGCCCGCTGGTTCTCTGCTGTACGGTATTAATTTAACCTCACAAGTATGCTTGATCCCCCTTTTGTGGCCAGTGGACGCCGTTGGCTACGGGCTGTTAATTAAGTCCAAGAGCATCAGCAACGTCATGCCGTTTCAAGTCAAGAACTAAGAGGCCGAATGCTCTGACCACTGATAGGTTGGCGACTCCTCCTATTTGCGGCTGCATGTGACTTGAATAGGAAGGCTAACCGCCATAGCGAAGAGTTTTCCAGAGTGGGCAGCAGCGCACCACTTGCCCCTGAGCAGAAAAGGACCCCAATGCGCTCCCACTTCAGATTTGCCTGTTTTTCGGACTCAAATACGGTAGCTCTCGCCGGGATCAGGAGGATACTTTTTCTCTTTCAGGCCAGGCGTGCGGCTTGCGCAGGGGATCGATGGGCGCACGCTCCACTGTTTACTGGGGCGGAACCCAATTATGAGCCCTGTAATTGTCGTATGGTTCCCAATTGAGGACGGGATTTAATTAAGTGACAGCTGTAGTCTGTTCCAGATAAAAGATCGTTCCCGCGGCGGCTACTGTATCCGCGGGCATAGATCGAGGCGCGAGCACGGTGGATTTATCAAGAGGCTTCGGCTCCCACATGGCAACTGCTCTTCGCAACTCTGTTCCTACCAAACTTCTTTCTCTTTTGGTTGTCACCTCTCATACCGTCTCTCGTTCCTTTGGCTTGTCACTCTAAGCTCTCATTCATTCATTGGGTTCCGGAACTCAACCACAATTTTCCAATTCTTTTCCAACGAACCAACATCAGCCTTTCACCCAGCTTTTTTAATCTTGGTTCGATCACGACAACTCCACAATGAAGTCGGCTCCCGCTCTCTTGGCGGTCTTGGCGGGACTTGCCAACCTTGTTGCGGCTCAGACTGTCTCTGGCAAGCCTGAAGGCTTTGCTACTGGTGTTACTGGTGGTGGCAGCGCAACTGCCGTTACCCCTGCGGATATCACGGAGCTCAAGGAGTATCTCACTGACGATGAGCCTCGCGTCATCCTCCTCTCCAAGGAATACGACTTCACCGAGTCTGAGGGCACCGAGTCCGGCAATGTTTGCGCCAGCTGGGGCACCGGCGCTGCTTGCCAGAAGATCATCCAGGACGACTGCGGAAGCAACCCTGCTTCGACCGAGACTTGGTACAAGGCCCCGACTCAGCCTATCGACGTCGGCAACAACAAGACCATCCTCGGCGTTGGCAGCAAGGGAGCCATCAAGGGCAAGGGCCTGCGCATGCGAGGCAGCAACGTCATGTAAGTGCTAACCTACGTTGGTGCCGCTTTCCGTGCACTAACAGACAACAGCATCCAAAACATTCAGGTCTCTGACTTGAACCCCAAGTATGTCTGGGGTGGTGATGCTATTGGCTTCGATGGCGCTGACCTTGTCTGGGTTGACCACGTCACGGTAAGTCACTTGATTGTAAATAACATGGTGTCGATGCTAACCCTTGAGACAGACTGCCCGTCCTGGCCGCCAGCACTACGTCTTCGGCTTCAACCCTAGCAAGCGCATCACTCTCTCCAACAACTTCATTAACGGCGAGTCCGACTACTCTACCGGCTGCAACGGATACCACTACTGGACCTTCGAGATGGTCGGCACCGACGACCAGATCACCATGAAGAACAACTACATCTACAAGACCTCCGGCCGCAGCCCTGCCCTCAGCGGTGGCACTCTCCTCCACGCCGTCAACAACGTGTGGGACGACAACGACGGCCACGCTCTCGAGGGTGGCGACACCAAGGCCCGCGGTATCTTCGAGGGCAACGCCTTCATCAACGTCAAGGCTCTCGTCTCCGACTACCAGGGCAAGCTGTTCTCCTCTCCCGACGCCACCACCAACGCGCAGTGCAAGACCGCCCTCGGCCGCGCCTGCGAGGTCAACGTCTTCGACACCACCACCTCCACCGACTTCTCCAAGCTAAAGGACACCTCCTTCTTCAGCGAGTTCTCCGGCTTCTCCATCGCTTCCGCCGAGTCCGCCAGCTCCATCAAGACCAGCGTCCCGAACAACGCCGGTGCTGGCAAGCTCAGCTCTTCCAGCAGCTCTTCCAACAGCTCTTCTGGCTCCACCAAGTCTGCTGACACCGTTGCCGAGGCTGCCGCCACTACCCCTGCCGCCACCTCTGCTGCTGCTCCTGCCGCCGCTGCCACGAGCGCTGCTGCCAGCTCCGGCTCCGGCTCCGGCTCTGTTGCTCTCTACGGCCAGTGCGGTGGCCAGGGCTACTCTGGCGCTACTTCTTGCGCCTCTGGCAAGTGCGAGGTCGTCAACAACTGGTACTCTCAGTGCGTCTAAGCAACTTCGATTTCTTGATCTGGGTCTCGTCAAGGCCGATGGACCGTTCTGTGATACCCATCTGTCAGTCTGAAGAGGCACACGCATTCTTGTAACATTGTCATTGCACATATATTCCTTGTAAATATCTTTGAGGCCAGGGGCCAAGCAAAATAAAACCGACCAGCGTCTTGCACTACCTCTATTCAGCTCCAGATCATCAGTGATGCGGCATGTGAATTGTGCGGCTATGTTTGTCTCAGGCAACTGATCCATTTCAGCCCTTTTCACGGGGAGAAGCGTTTGCTAATGTACCCATTGGGGCCACCCTAGGCAACTGAGACCAAGGCAGTCAGGCAGGCGGCAGAAGTGTTTAGCGACGGGAAGTGGCTTTTGTTTCCCTCAAACTCCTTCAGGTGTCACTTCAACACTTTTACCTGATATGGGCATAATTGTTAAAGTGATAGCAAATGTGTAAAGGCGTTCGGCTATGAGTTCGTTTGTATATAGGATGCCGGGCTTAAAGTTCATGTAGTTATTAGAGAGCTGATTGTGGCTGGAGACACTAAGTAAGGTGATGCATTGATGGCGGGCTGTCTCTGCTAGCCTCATGGAATGCAGGGATCCCACAGCTAAACCTCGACGCTTCATACTCTCAATGGGTTGGAAACGCAGACTGCATATCCCATGTCTGAGACTTCCACAGCCTGGCCCCAGGAAGCAGGGCACATTTGGAACAGTCTTGTAGTCTGCGAGGTAGTAACATGGCCTGCTAATGTCCAGAGATTCTGCAAGTATTCATAAAAGAGGCTGGTTATTGCGCGTAGACATTGGCAATCTTGATCACGGCCAAAAGATAATGATGAGCCTCGAGCTACCTTTTCAGTATCTTAGAGTCAACTTTAAATCTTGTCGGGATACGTCAGGTACAAGCCTTCTAAATCAGGTGCGATGGCTTTTCTAGTTCAGCTGTAGTGAGTCAGATTGTCTCTTGCGTGGCTCTCTTGCGTGGCTCTCTTGCGTGGCTTAAGCTAAGCTCAGCTTACATCACAGACATCGCGCGGCATGCGAATGCGCAATCATGAGCGTGATGAAAGCTTTTGATAAACGTATATTGAAGTCCTCTCGCAAAATCTCATGTCTACCAAATCTTCGCCATCTCATCAACAAGCGTGGCGACCAACACACCAGCACCCATTTTCTGATCTATCAACCCTCTCTGACATCTTCAAAACTGCTCCTGATGCGGTCTCAGCTCTATGTTACCGGCATAGTAGGCTTCTGGATTCTAGAACATGCAGAAGCTGTCTACTATCTTGACCAGGCGGACGGCTACAGCGCACTGCCGTCATGCGCCGAAGTCCCCATCAGCTCCATCGTGAGAGACATGGTCTCGGGATGCGGTGACGGAGGCAGGACAACATCCTACAGCTGCTTCTGCACTGAAAGCTCGGATAGATTCAGCAACATCATTGCCACTGCTGTTGCGAAGAACTGCGGCCAGTCGAACGTGGAGGTCGCGAGCGCAACGCAGGTGTTTGATGCATATTGCCAACTTGGCAAAGCTGATGCAGCAACAGGTTGTTATACTAAAAGTCCTCTTCCGTGTCTGTATGTTGCTAACATCACCGGTGGAAAGATATTAGTGGGCCAACTTCGACGACAGGCGGCAGTATCCTGACCTCATCGCCAGCCTCTTATACCGCTGAACCATCATCTGGTCTTTATACTGGAGCTGTCATCGGCGTCAGCACTTGTGTATCTCTCGTCACTATCGCAATGTTCATCGCTGCCTATTTCGACGCCGTGCCAACAGGAAACCCCCAAGCGTCGAAGCAGATACCGAAGTGTTTGTGGAGAACGGAGAACGGAAAGCAGCTCAAGGACATGATGGCACGGTAGAAAATTTCAAGGCAGAGCTGGATGCCAGGAATGAGATAAACGAGTTGCCAACTCCGCCGCCGCCGAGGGCCATGCACGAGCTCCAATGAGGGCAGTAATCGTAGTTATCGAGGACAGATTAATGCTCATCATCAAATGTTTCGACGTTTCACTCTGCATATTCCACAAACCTCGGAGTTGAAAAAGTCCACAGGAGACGCCAGCAATGAGGTTCGGCGGAAGCCCGACTGCAACGCTCACGCAATGACGCGAGAAATTGCACCATCGTCGAGGTCCCTGTTGACACACCAAACTGACAGCCGGACAAGCTCAGATGAACCAACCACAAATCTCGGAATCCGATGCAAGATAAGACGTCGGCAATAATGCCACGCGGTCGCTAATACCGTCGCGCTGGTCGGGGCCTAGGCCGGTGCTTGATGCCTTCGCAGGGACTCCGGCCCTTGTTTGCCGGTGATGTGCTCCGGTATTGTGCTGACGACTTCGGACGTTTCTCAGTCGGGGTACAGAGCTTCTGCATTTCTTGGGATACAAAGCAATGCAAATATCTGACATGCTAATTGGGAAATGATAACGTCCTGTTTGCCGCGAGTCTGAAGCATCTGCCCATCATGACCGAGCCTGCACGCCGGTGGTATCACTGGTTCTCGCCCAGCGATAGTCCCGAGGAACGCAAGCTGATCCTAAAACTGGATCTGCTCATTGTTCCCTATGCTTTCATCCTCTACTGGGTCAAGTATATGGACCAGACCAACATCAGTATGGCACCCTCAACCCATCAGGCCGAAGGTTATTGACACGTTGTAGATAATGCATACGTATCAGGAATGGCCGATGAACTCGGCTTCCATGGGAATGAGTTGGTTCAGTTCCAGACCATCTTTGTCGTGGGAAACGTGGTCGGCCTGCTGCCGTTCATCTACCTGTTCCCCCGAGTACCGATGCACATTCTGGTGCCGACCCTCGATTTAGGTGAGCTACGCCTCAGACTGCGAATCGTCTGCAATAACATAGGCTGACTTTTGTCGAATAAGGATGGGGACTGTTCACTCTGCTCCAGTACCGCGCCCAAAGCTATGGTGAGATCATGGCCTACCGGTTCATGGTATCTTTGTTCGAGGTTGGTCTCGGTGTTCCGCATCCCGACGTGCCTGCTGACACGTTTTAAAGGCCTCGTACTTCCCTGGCGTTCACTTCGTTCTTGGCTCCTGGTACCGAAGCGATGAGATCGGTCGCCGGGGTGGCACATTCTACATCGGCCTCACGCTCGGCACCCTCACGGCGTCCCTCCTCCAAGCCGCGGCAACGACCTACCTCGAGGGCGTCCACGGCCTACGAGGCTGGCGCTGGCTCTTCATCATCAACGCCATCATCACCCTCCCCCTGGCCTTCATCGGCTACTTCATCTGGCCCGGCACGCCCGCCAAACCAAACAGACTCGTGATGAAAAAGTCCGAACTCGACCTCGCGCGCTCGCGCCTCGAAAAGACAGGCAGCTCTGTCAAAAGCACACCCTTCTCCCTCAGCCTCCTCAAGCGCGTCTTCACCAACTGGCGCTTCTACCTCCTCGTCCTATGGGACGTCTTCTTCTTCAACACCAGCTCCAACAGCGCAGCCTTCCTCCTGTGGATCAAGAGCCTGGGGCGCTACAGCACCGCGGAGATGAACAAGCTCAACGCCATCAGCCCGGGCCTAGGCATCTTCTTCGTGCTGTTCATCAACTTCAGCGCGGACCTGTGGATCGGCAGGCCCGCGGCCATCACCCTCGCCTCGGCGATCAACTTCACCGGGCTTGTCATCCTGGCGGCCTGGAACGTGCCGGAGGCGGCGAAGTGGTTCGCCTTCAGCACGTCGTACTCTGCGGTGGCCGTGTCCTCGGTGCTGTACGGCTGGGCGAACGTCATTCTCAAAAACAACATTGAGGAGAGGGCGTTGACGCTGATTCTGATGACGGCGATCGCGACGTCGACGAATGCGTGGATCCCGCTGTTTGTCTATCCCACGGTCGAGGCGCCGAGGTTCCCGAAGGGATACGTCTATTCTGCGGTGATGGTCGTGTGTTTGGTGGTTACGACGCAGGTTGTCAGGGTGTTGTTGGGGACTCAGGGGTAAGACTCGCTGTTTTTGTCTGGGAGACTGAGTGGCTAACAGAGATGCAGGGAGAAACGCCAGCCCAAGTCGCAGGTTTCCCCTCTTGCAGAGGGTGCTTCGACATCTGTCGATGATAGTCATGATCGAAAGACGTCGTCTCCGCGGATTGAGGCTGTTTGATTGGAAAGACACGGGAAGGCTTCAGATGGGCATGCATGTCTTTGTGGCTATGTGAGCAACAACGAACGGCTCATTTGAGGTAGTCTTGAATGAGAGTTACCACATGTGTGTAGAATGAGTCGGTGTTCAAGTGGAAAAGTAGCCATATTGAGTGAGCCATGCTTAATACAAGCGCCGTTGAGAGAAACCTCCTTGTTCATCAAGAATGAGATCATTACACACGATCGCTGTCTGATCCGTCTACAATAAAAACAGTCTAGTAACCCTCCTTTTTGTTGACAACGTTGACAAGCCTCTTCCCCTGACTCAACCGCTCCAAATTCAGGTCCAAAATCCCCAGGATCCGCTCCGTATAACTCGTCGACATACCGCTGATATGCGGCGTAATCAACAGATTCTTCGCCTTCCACAGCGGATGCCCCTCAGGCAGCGGCTCCGGATCCGTCACATCCAGCGCCGCGCCGCGGATGAGCCCGTCGTCCAGCGCCTTGATCAGGTCGTCCGTGTTGACGATCGGCCCGCGCGCAATGTTGGACACGAACGTCTTCTTCGCGGACAGGATGCGGAACTCCTCCGCCGCGAGCAGGTGGCTCGTCTTGTCGGTCAGCGGGGTCGCGACGACAAGCAGGTCGAGCCCGGAGCCGAGGAAGGCGTGCAAGTCGGCCTTGGAGGCGCCCGAGAACCACTTGGCGGGGAACTTGCCCTCCGGGTCGCCGAGGCCGGGCGGCGAGTAGCCGTTGTCGCGCTTGGACTCGGGCGTCGGGCGCGGGTGCAGGGTGTAGGCGTGCACTTTGAAGCCGAGGGCGGTGGCTACGCGGGCGGTTTGGCGGCCGATGCTGCCGTAGCCGAGGATTCCTCTGGGGATGAGGGTTAGTTAGATGCTCTGGTGATAGGAGAGAGTGAGGTGGGACTTGCATTGTGCGACCGACGGCGTCTTCTACCCAGTCATTTCCGCGAGACCACTTTCCTTCGCGGAAGTTGTCGATGTATTTGGGGACTGTTGGGTTGATGAGCACTCACGCGGTGTAACCTGAAGGGTGAAGCAACTCACGTTGATGCTGGAACGAGAGGTAGGTTGAAATGATCCATTCGGAAATCTGAGGTCTGCGCGGGTATGAGTTTACTGCTCGTTTCATCAGTCACTTGAGAAGACATACCCGTGGACACCATTCGCCGTCGCAAAGACTGCATCCGTGTCCGTGAACAGCGGGTGCTTCAAGATGTGGTTCGCGCCGGCGCTCTGCAGCTGCACGTACTGCAGCTTCGGCGCCTGCTCCGGGTCCGGGAGGGCGCTGCCGGTGAGCAGGATCGTCACGTCCTTCCACTCGCTCTCGTTAAAGGTGCTGCCGGGCTTCTTCTCGGGGAAGCCGAGCTCGTGGTAGACGACCTTGAGATCCGGGAACTGGGAGTGCAGCTTGGCATAGAAGTCGTCGTCGGGCTTAAACTGGGAGAGGATCAGGAGCTTCTGGTCCTTGAGGGTCGGGTTTGGCGGCGGGAGGAGCATGATCATTGGTTTTTGGTGTTGGCGTGAGGAATTACTCGGTAAGAGGAATGAAGCGGTTGTGAGGCTTGGTGTTGTTTATGAACAGATGTGAAGTATTGATAAGCAGGAGTTTGAGCGCGGACAGGATTCAGGTTGGCGGGTTTCAGCTGGTCGGATCACAAATAATGGACAGAGGAAGCTCTCTCTCTCACACCGACCCATCCACCAGCGGAAGTCATGGCATAATCGCAGCAGTAATGTACCCTGAAATGGAGGGGCATTGGAGCTGGTGCGGGGGGTCCAGTCTTCCAATGTTTGGTTCGCTGGCCTCTGAGCGCATCGCAGGGCCAGATGGCGCAACAGGAAGGTCGGAACGCCGCCGATGCGAGTGTGTGGGGGGGGGGGGGGGTTCAGACGGTTGGCTCAAGGGAATTGCGTATCTTTTGACTCGTCAATGGCGTCTGCGGCCAAGGGTTCTCGCATCATTCATTCCTTCATCCAATCTTCGTTGCTCGCTCCTTTCGCGGACTGGGGGACTCCGGCCCGGTGTCGGCGGCAATCGAACATGTCCGCCGGAGCCTGGCTGGATGTGTCTGCCGATAAGGCCGGTGACGCGGAGAATAGCTGGCAGAAGTGAGTGAGCATTGTAAATTGCGTCAAGAGCTGTCGACTGGGGAATGCAGCTCTGTTCCCTGTCGCTACAGATTGATGATAAGATACCGATAGATGATTGCCATTCCCCTACCCCTCATCCCCTCACCACCAGCTATCTAGCTGGTCCAGTCTCTTGTTTCTTGGCGGTACTTTGCTCGAATCTCCTATGAACAATCTGCTTTTGAGGCTATAGATGTTGTAGATATGCTTGCCTTGACGCATCCTGACTCATTCTGACTCGGCCCAGCTGATGAAACACACAAGTCCCGAAGACGGTGAAAACAAACATAAATCTAACATTGGTTGAGGGGCGCATGCATAATTCCTTCTCCACCTTCGACATAGGCGCGCCCTTTGAGAACCAGGCTGAGCCGTATAAATAATCTTTTGTCTGCGATTGAGGCTCTGCAACAAGCTGTCTTGTGCCCAAGACACTACATACCGGCAACTCATTCTCCAAAATGGCCCCCTCAAACTCAACTGTCCGCCATGCGCGACGTGAAGGTAAGCCAGTAACCTGTCTTGCTGCCATGCAGGCGGGGGGACATGAACTGACACTGCCCCAGATATTCCCATCATCCTCTCCCTGATTAAGGAGCTGGCGGAATACGAGAAGGAACTTGACAGCGTCCAGGCCACCGAGGAATCACTCGGAAACACCATCGCCTTCGCCCCGGATGACCAAACCGCCTACACGGCGGGCAAGCCCGTGACGGAATCCACATCCCCCAGCAGACCCGCGAGGTGTCTCATTCTGTTCAACGAAGCGGGCGAGGGTGTCGGCATGGCCCTGTACTTTTACAACTACAGCACATGGCGCGCCAAGCCCGGTGTCTACCTCGAGGATCTCTACGTACGCCAGACGGAGCGCAAGAAGGGCTATGGCAAGCGCCTCTTGGTTGAGCTGGCCAAGGAGGTCGTCGCCATGGACGGAGGCCGACTTGAGTGGGTGGTGCTCAAGTGGAACGAGCCGAGTATCAAGTTTTACGAGTCCATCGGCGCCAAGGCCATGGACGAGTGGGTTGGCATGCGTGTCGATGGTGACGCCCTGCCGAAGCTGGCTGGCTTGCTAGACTAGATAGAGTGGGAGCTGGGGTATAATAACAGAAACAAATAGACAAGGCACTAGTTTCCGCCAAGTATCTGTCCCTGGGCATCGACGCCCTCAAAGATTCCACGTTGAGGGCCCGATGCGATGGGCGGGCTAGTCAAAGGGTTACCCCAGACAAACTCACGCCTGTGCCGCCCCTTTTCATCGCTTTTAGTCTCCTCCACGTACGATGACGCTTGCCATAACCTGCTGAACTCCCTCCGAAGCTTTCTGTCGCTGTATGGAACCTCGCGCACCAGCTGTTGGGTCTGCGAGTATGGGCCGTCATCCGTCTTGCCCGTCAACCGGGTTCTCTTTCGAGACCGTGGTCTCTCGATTTCGCGGACGGGAATTGAGGCATAGGCCGACCACGGGAAGTCCCTCCGCTCACTCTTCTCCGTAGCAACTGGCCTGCGTGGAGCCAGTTTCCACAAGACCTCAGGCGCATCACCGCTGACAATCGAGCGCAACAAATCCCATTCATTGCGCTCCACTGGTGGCACAAGCCTGTCTGCCGTCCTCTTCCACCAAATACGTACTTTCTTTGTTTTCCTCTGGGCTGCTGTCTCTCGGCCCCATACGTCGTTCTCAGGGACGAACTTTTCAGGCTTGAAGTTGTCAAGTTCAGTTCGGGGCCAGCAATCCGATGGCGTATCACGTTGCTGCGTCTTTTGGGAGGTGTAGAACTGGGTGAGCTTTTTGATGTCCCAGTTGTCTTCGATGGGACTGAGCTTCTGGCGAACCCAGGGCGTGGGATCGGTCCGGTCGAACACGCGCCTCGTCGGGGGAATCCTTTTGAGTCTCTGCAGCTTTCTGGCCTTCTGGATGTCTCGTTCTGAGTCAAACACTTGCATTTGTTTCTCGAGCTCGTTGATGTCCACGGGAGGATCGGGTTCCTTCTTGACAAAGTCGGCCATGAGCTCACGGCGTCGCCGGCCTAACTTCCCAAACACGAGCCATAAAACCTTGCGGAAGCGGTCTGTGTCGCCCAAGAGCGCGGCATTGAGGATGACAAGCTTCCTCTTACCTTCCCCGAGGGCTTTTGTGCGCAGGAAGTGTTCTTCTTGTTCTCGGCCATGGTCGCGCCCACGAGTGGGCAATTTGGCTGCTGCCGAGGCAGCTCTCGCTCGCTCTCGTCGAAAGCCGTCCTTGACCCAGTCCTCCAGGTAAGAACGGCAGATGAGCGGGAAGTATGTGGTAGCGCGGAGGAGGTGGCGGTAGAGGTGAAGGGGTCGGATAGGCCTCGGCAGGGGGATAACGGCGGTGGAGGTAGCGGTCGCGGCTTGGAGGTGGCTCCAGACCTTCTTTTGCGGTGTGGGGTTTCGGATCGGGAGGCGGACCTTGGGCATGGTGATGGTGGAGCAGCAGGAGGCTGGTAAGAGACCGACAATCAGGAACAGGGCGGCAGGGACATTGTTGTTGCACTCGGCTGGTGTCTCGCAGTCGGGCAGAGACGCATGTACCGTTGCCGGAGTCGGTGTCGGTACGAGTATCGATGTCGAACAGGATGCATGCAGGACGGAGGTAAGGTACGGTGCAGAAATTTGGAGATTTGGCTGCAGCGGTGACGGGGACTGGCTGGAGCTTCATCGGATCTGCCTCAGGAGCCGAGGGCAAAGTGGCCCAAGCTTCCTGGGATGGGGGGCAGTTGCCGTAGAAAGGTATTATTTTATTTGCAAGGCAAGAACAACAGAGCTTCGGTTTGTTGAAAATGGCATGAACTGCCAATTGAATATTGCTGAATACTGATATCTAAGAAAAGGTCTAGTCAGTCTTGTCATCTGCTGCTCAGTATCTCAATACAGCATGGCCACTTGAGAACACCAATCGAGGCAAGACGGCTGGCTCATTGACAAAGTACCCAGCATAAGGTGTGAACCAACAGTCATCAACTATCAACAATTAACTGCTCATCTTAAGGAAATCCTCAACTGTTTACATGATGGGTAAGATACTCATCGTGACTGGCTCTGGTAATGGGACTGGAGGTGGACGCGATAGTGTAAGAGGCCCGGTCTGCGATAAGGCCACCCGCGGCACGTCGACTACGCGTCACCGACGCTCCTCCCTCGCAGGCCGACGTGAATGCCCTTTCACTTTTCGCGGTGAGCAGGGCCGGTACGTACCGTCAGTGCCCCACCTTCCACCAGCAATCCAGCAGTCTGAGTGGCCCGTGCAGCTCGCTTAAGCAAATGGGAAGGCACGAATTCTGGCTCGCACCTGCTTGCTCTGTGTGTCTCTGCTGCCAGCCCCCTCCAGCAAGCACACGGTCCCCCCCCCCCCTCGCCGCCCTCTTCCCTCTGTAAATTGGACGCGACACGCTCAAAAGACCGACACGCCCTTTTTCGCGAAAACCGCGAATCGACACGTCCACCACTTTTAATTGAAATTCCATTTCGGGAACCCGCTGCGGACCTTTTCCTCATTTTCGGTCCCCGGACGACGGCTGGGCGACAGGACCATCTGCGAATACCTGATATCCACCTCCAGTCCGATAATTCAGCTTTCTGCCGAATACCCTACCGATACTCTGTACTCTGTACTGTGAACTCTGCCGGCGTGTCGTTTCTGTTGCGAATACCAACTTCGCACTTTTGCACTGCCAATCCTCTTATTCTCCGTCTCTCTCCTCTCCTCTCTCGGTCTCTCCCCCCAGCACCTGAACCACCACTCTCGGATTCCGGTCTAGACCCCCTTTGAGACGACCACCCAACCCTTGACGGCATATGAAGCGCCTATCCGCCCTACGCCATTTACCATTTACGCCATTCCGACTATTACTCTCAACCGTTGTTCAGTAGTACATTGGTTTCCCTTTGGCGTATCCCCCCAACCATCGCCTGTCATCCTTCCACCACTCAAGTTGCTTGCGTTGCCGCATCAGCATCGCACAAAGCTGCCAAAGCACCGAGCCGCCGCGCAAAGCGATCCGACAAAACGCTCGTCTGCCCATCCACGCACACCAAGAAAGCCCCGGCCGGCTGCACGCATTCACAATCCGACTCTTGTCGACCCCCAAAGCTGTCGCAACCACAACTATCTCATCCCGCGACCCTGCTTCCTCCATATCTGGAAAGCCACAGCCGCCGCCGCTGAGTGATCGACCATCCTCGCCCACCACCTCTGCCTCCCTTCCGAACCCCCTCTTGATCGCATCGCCTTCCGTCGCAGCTCCCGCCTCCAATGCCCTAGTGCCAGCGGCACATGTCTTCGACCACCGTCACAGCTAGTCAACCCACTTTACATTCCTTCCATCTTCCCCGCGACTCCTCCTTTTCGGCTGCGCAACCACACGACTACCCCGGGAAACCAACTCCCACCGCCATGATGCCTTCAGCATCACAGTCCCAACCTTCGTCGCAACAGTCTTTTACCATGAGCCAGCAGAGCCAGGGCGGCTACCGCGGCTATGCCGACGCCAGGCTCGCCAATGAAGCCCCCCAGATCTATAGCGTGAGTGAAGTCGGCTCGCATTCGTGCTACCCTGGCACACCTACCTGCCTTTGGGGCATTCGCATTGACATGACACATATAGGCCGTCTACTCGGGCGTCGATGTATACGAGATGGAGGTCAACGGTGTCGCAGTCATGCGCAGGCGGCAAGACAGTTGGCTCAATGCGACCCAGATTCTCAAGGTTGCCGGCGTCGACAAGGGAAAACGCACAAAGATCCTCGAAAAGGAGATCCAGATTGGCGAGCACGAGAAGGTCCAAGGAGGCTACGGAAAATACCAGGGCACATGGATCAAGTTCGAGCGCGGTGTCGAAGTCTGCCGCCAGTACGGCGTCGAGGAGGTTCTCCGTCCGCTGTTGACATATGATATGGGACAAGATGGTGGTGTTGCCGGCCGAGGAGACTTCAACACCCCAACCAAGGAACAGGCCATGGCTGCCCAGAGGAAACGTCTGTACAACGCCGGAAACGAGGCAAGGTCCAACGGCATGACTGGCATCAACGGCACCTTCTTCAAGAACATCTCCACCACTGCGTCTCACGCTGTCGCTGCTATTAGCAAGGCACGATTCGACTCTCCCGGACCTAGGGGTCGCAATGGACCCACGAAAGCACCCAGCTTCAGCCGCCAGAGCTCCATGCAGAACGGCGACGACTTCCCCGGCAACTCCCAGCAGAGTTATGCCTCGGACTACGGCCAGCACGTCGACTCGGCGTACTCCACTCAACAGACCAGCCAACAGTTTGACGGTCCGGAGCCACCTCGCAAGCGCCAAAGAGTCACCATGACCCCCGCCGAGAGCTTCGGCGGCTACAACAACTCGATGGAAATGTACCAGGGCGCCTTCCCTGGATCTCCTACGGAGCCTAATGAGTCCTTCATCTACTCTCAAGCGAATGTGCCTGCACATGATGGCCACAGCCCACTCACACCGCTACCCTTTGAGATGTCTCCGGACGCCGAACACAAAAGGAGCATGTTGATGAGCCTGTTCATGGACTCTGCGGCTTCGGATCAGTCCAAGCATGAGATGCTTCGCTCATTGGCGCCTATTGAGCTAGATATGCCCATTGACCAGCAAAGCCACACAGCCCTTCACTGGGCTGCTACGTTATCGCGTATGCCTCTCTTGCGCGCGCTCATCGCTGCCGGCGCCAGCCCCTTTCGTGTCAATGCCTCGGGAGAGACTGCCTTGGTGAGAGCTTGTGTAGTTACAAACTCGATGGATCTCGGCTCCTTCCCTGATCTACTGGATGTGCTCGGAAGCACCATTGAAGTCCGCGATAGCAAGGGACGCACTGTTCTGCACCATATTGCCATGACTAGCGCCGTCAAGGGTAGGAACGCGGCCAGTCGGTATTATTTGGAAAGCCTTTTGGAGTGGGTGGTAAGGCAAGGCAGCGTGCCCAACGGTCAAGCGGCGACCAATGGCAACGGAAGCAGTGCACCAGCCAGTTCCCAGTCCCAACCGCAGTCGCAACCGAAGATGGGCATCGCACGCTTCATGACTGAGATTGTCAACGCCCAAGACCACGCCGGTGATACGGCTCTCAACATTGCGGCAAGGATAGGCAACCGCAGCATCATCTCGCAGCTCCTCGAGGTCGGCGCAGACGGCAACATTGCCAACCGTGCCGGTCTCCGGCCCGTGGACTTTGGTATCGGAGTCGAGGCTGCAGATGAGGGCAACAACATGACCAATGGTGCCGAGCTGAATGGAGACACTGAGAAGAACCGTGCTGCAAGCAGCGAGCGCGCAAAAGAGAGCAGCGATGATATTGTTTCTTGTGAGTAAACACCCAGTTTCCAGTACGAGATTTTCCCACTGACCGCCCCCCTAGCCATCACACATCTTCTTAGCGAAGCAAGCTCCACCTTCCAGAACGAAATCAAGACGAAGCAGGCCGTCATCGAGTCCCTGCACTCAACACTCCGCACCACATCAGCACAGCTGGGCGAGGCAAGGCGAAACCTCGAAGCCATGCAGGCGACGCTGAAGAAGCAACAACTCGCCCGCCAAAAGATCTCGAACCTCAGACATGCCCGCGAGGAGGAACAGGTCCGCCTGATGCAGGAGCAGAACCGGGCAGGCCGCACCGACGCCCTCTCGTCGTCGTGGGAGACGGAACTGGGCGCGGCGCTGGAGACGGCCGACAACGGCGAGGAGGCCGCCATGCTGCCCTCGGCGGCGGTTCTGAAGGCAAGGCTAAGCGCCGTCTCGGCGCGACGCGACGTCACGCGCAAGATGGCCGCCGCGCTCAAGGGGCGAAGCAAGGACGTCGAGATCAAGTACCGCCGCGTGGTGGCCATCAGCACCGGCGTGCCTGAGGACCAGGTTGACGCCGTTGTGGATGGTCTCCTCCGCGCGGTGGAGAGCGAAAAGGGCGAGTTGGAAGTCGACCGGGTCAGGAGGTTTCTCGGCGGCGTCGAGGGCGTGGTGCATTAATGAAGCTGCTGCGATGATGTTCTAGATGTTCGTTGTGTTGGTGTCATACCCCGTCGGAGAAGCCCCCTTTTTTTGAAGTAGGAGAAAAGGGGACCACGGACCGGCCCGTTTATTGATGTTTGTTTTTTATATACTACAAAGAGGAGGAAGGCATAAAACCCAGTGCTTTTTTCTAGGGGAAAAAGAGAGGGCGTTGGCAGGCTGTTTGGCATTATTGTATGGCTGCACGGGTGGATATCTGATGATTGGAACTTCATACGATTTCAAAATTTGATGGCCTTGAACGGAGCAACCTGTGAAGTGTGTGAGTGTGCGCACGCAGTGCGAGCTGAGCCTACAAATGCTTTGCTTTGATGCGCCATCCTAAATCCTGCTTGATAAAAAAGCTCCCTTCCCCGAACGCCGTGCAATGCTGCTTTGGATACGATTCCGGCAAGATCTGTCTGTTCATATATTACGTCCTCGGGACATATTACGGGCTGTCTTTTTCACCGCGTGATACCGGACGCGTACAGCCCCTCCCACCGCTGCTCGACTCCTCCCACGAGCTTCTTGGCCTTTTCAATCTCCCTGTCGAGCTCCTCCACGTTACGAGTGAGGGCGCTGACCTCTTCGAAGCGCCTCGCCCCGCGCGCCGAGTCCACCATCTGCTGCACCATGAACTTTTGCTCCTCAAGCACAATGAGGCGCTCGCGGGCCTCCTTCTCCTCCGTCTCCAGCTGCGATACCGCGGTGCTGGTCTCGCTGGCCTGGCTCGCCGTCTCGGATTCTGCGAGTTCTCCGTTCCGGAGGGGCGAGAGGTGCAACGATGACGAGGAGCCGTTGGCGCTGCCCTGAAGAGCGAGCAGCCGCGAGGAATGCGACGACCGGGAGCGGAGGATCTGAGGGACGGACTTGAGGGTGAGCATGTGGGTATGCAGGAAAGTAGATGCGGCTGCGTATACGGCTTGTTGCAAGCGCAGCTGTGTCTTGGATTTCGTCTTCATGTCGCGTAAACGGCGCGCCGCCGTATCGTACTTGGTAAAGGCATCGGTGAGTCGTTTGCGAATCTTGGAGGCCTCTTGGATCTGGGCGTGAGTTGGTGGAGGCTTTGGTGCCTCAGACCCATCCTCGCTTTCTGGTTGCAGTGCTAGCAGTGTGCGTTGGAAAATAGGCATGAGCTGCCGGATGCCGCGCTCAAACTGGCGAAGTGTCTCGTAGGCGCGCTGATCCGGGGGTTTATGCATAATGGTAGCGGCAAAATCACGTTTTGAAAAGATGGTGTGGTTGCAATCGCGGCACATTCGCACATCGACACTCAGCTGGCCAGGCTGAGCCGTGGTCGGGGGCTTCTCCGTCGCCGGGTTCGTGGCTGGTACTGTTAGGCGCGATTCTCGGAGTGACGCCGATGCGCAAGACTCACGATTCGCTACGCTCAATCCCACTTCGCTCGAACAGCCCGTCAATGGGTCGGCGCAAACCACCCGCCCGCATATTCGACAATGGTGGCGCCTAAATGTCCATGATCCAAACTCTTGCTGGCAGAAGGGGCATTGTGTGACAGAGGCGTCGTCCTCCCAGGTAACCACCGACTGCTCCAATAATTTCCTCTGGTTTTTCTGGCCCGTCAGCGTCGCTACTGGGGCCAGCAGGTTGTTGCTGTTGGTCGTGACGTCTTCGGGGGCATTCGCAAGCAGCTGCGTAAGCTTCGTTAAACGCTTCTCCAGTCTGGCCACCTCGAGATTCTGCCTCTCCACCCTCTTTCGGCGCATTTCCGCAAAAGCCGACGTGTGGTCGATTAACACGCCATTGTGGTCATTGTAGCCGTCCCTCGACTTGTAGCACGTCTCGCACACCCTAACCCAATACCCCCGCACGGGGTCGTGCTGGGCGGACCTCGCCAGCCTCATCTGGTACATGGTGTGCTCCTCGCAGAACAGCCTGCCGCATTTCCTGCAGTTGATGCTGCCGTTAACAGCGCCCAGGCCCTTTGCGCATGTCGGGTCGGTGCATCGGTCGTTGCTTGTCTGTCGCTGCCAATGCGATCGGGTGATGAGCTCGTCCGGATCGATCGGGCCCTCGACGAGTCTGGCGGTGGTGGGCGGGGCAATGGGCAGGGACTCGTTGGATTCGAAGACATCGAGGCCTCTGAGCTTTTGGTTGATTATGGAAAGCGGCTGGAACTTTTTGGCCTTGAGGACCTGCTTGTCGAACCAGGTCCTGACTTCATCCTGTTCGACCTCGGGAAGCTCTTGGTGGTTGTCGTCGATGTGTCTGAGGAGTGTCAGAGACTAGGGTCAGAGTCGCAAGACGGGCGGCAATGGTCACCTGTTTAGTTGAAGCAGCGTCAACTGTATGGAGAGATTAGCAGTGCGCCGAGAGGCATCGCGAAGGAGAGATGACTGACCATTTCCTCGTCGCATATTGGGCAAACCAGCTTTGAGCTCGTGGCGGAGGACCTGGAGGGGCCGCCAACGCTGATGTTTGACGTCAGGTCTTGGGAATAGTCGGGGAGTGGACTCGAGACTGGCGGCGATGCCGAGGAGGAGTTGAGCGACAGGGTGCTTTCGGAGGGAGCAAAAGGACTCGGCGTTCGCTGATGGCCACGACCGTGGACTGCAGGAGGCGTGGGAGGGGCAAGGCCTTTCCCGCTGCCCAAGATGCGACCGCCTCCCAGCTTGCGGCCGGACATGGTGGAAGAGAGGGGAGCTCACGCGACCATCCAGGTCGAGGAGGGAGGGGTTTCCGGCGACAAAGGCGGGTAGGATAAACAAACAAAGAAACGAGGTCGGGAAGACGGTGAGGGGGGAGACGAGGTTGAGGAGGTGACGATGGCCAGGACGAGGCGAGACGAGACGAGACGAGACGAGGAGGGGGTCCGAGTATCCGCGGTGTGTGCTGTGCAGCGTAAGGTAGGTAGGTATTCGTAGGTAGGCACGTAAGGTACCTATCCGTAGGTTGTGCAGGCAAGCGAGGCAGAATAGAGCAAGAGTAAAGCAAAAGCACAGCACAGCACAACACAGCACACGATGTGCTGTTTGTTGCAGGATGCGAATGCAGAGCGAATGCAGATGACGGAGGAAGAGGAGTGGTTCGTTGTGGTCCCTTGGTGGTTCCTGCTGGGACCTCGTCGGTGTCGCAGCGTAAGGTAACTTGTAAGGTAACTTAACTTGTAGAGTAAGGTCAGGTAGTAGAGAGGTGACAGCCGCAGTTGGTTCCAGTTCCAGGTTCCCGTGCTCGTCAGGCACTTTCCCTGCTGGGGGGGGGGGGAAGGGGGTCTTTGGGCAGCCTGCCAGTGCTGAGTGGCTCTCCAGGTGCAGTGCAGTTGGTTGGGGGCAGAGCTGGAGACTTGATGACTGGGCATTGAGCGGTCACGATGCAAGGAGGGGGGTACGTACTGCTTAGACCAGGACCTTGTAAAGTAGATGCAGTAGTATTTTGCAGGGAAAAGTACTTGCCGAACCCCTCCCTCTCCTACGATTTATCCGTAGATAAGGTACGTACCTCCAATTATATGGATGGTTCCCCCTCGCCCTGTGTGCTCTGTCCGCCTGCCAACGATGCATTCAGCGGTCATGGCGGCGGGGAAGACAAAAAGGAACGGCATGGGGTTCGCGGAGTGCAGACTCCTGGACGCTAAAGAGCTACAGAAGATGAAGATGCGCTACTGTGTAAGTGGCTAAGAAGAAAGCTACGGATACACCAACGACAACATGAGAAGGGCAGCAGCCGGGCAAGGCTAAGGCAAAGATGAGATCCACCAACAGGGGGCACCTACAAGTACAAGGAAGACACACTGCACTGCGGTGACCTCAGGGGGGACGCTGTGGAATGGCGGAGCGCTTCCGTGCCGATAGCCTGGAGTCGACTGGTCGGAATGGGTTCAACGCAGGTACAAAAGCAGCCTGCGAAAAGGCGGTGAGTTGGCAAGTATCTTTTTTGCTGTGTTTCCCTTGTACAGAGGATGGTCGACGTCTTCTGCGACACACCCTGGCCTGTGCGCTGTCCCTCCTTCCATCTGCTGCACCTGCAGTCCGTCCTGCACCTCCACTCGACCACTGGACCACTGGACCACTGCACCCGACCGCTGCCGTTCCCGCCGCTCCCCTGTAGCATCGTGACGGGTGACTCCCTCCAGGTGGTTGAGGTGGTCTTCCCCCTCCACCGTCGGGCTTCCATTGCTGTTCCTTAAGTGGGGCCCAGCCTTATCGGACTGCTTTATCGCTACCCGTCGCCTCGGCCTTTGAAAGCGCGCCATCTCTAGAAAAGCTCTTCCACGTTCGTCATTGACAATTCTCTATCCTCGTTGCAGAATACTCATCACCTTTTACACACATACACACTTTACATTCTTCTCTCTCTCGCACACACGTACTACGTGCGCGTAAATCACCCCCTCCTTCTCTCTACCTCTCTCCTACACACCACACACGCACATACACACCATGGCCGACAAATCCAAAAAGTTTCCCGACGTCGAGGGCGGTGGCAGTCTTATCCTGGCCTGGCAGATCAAGGGAAAGAAGGTTTTGGTCGTTGGAGGCGGCGAGGTATGTGGCTGCGCTTGCGATGCGCCCCAATCACAACTCCTAAGGTTGTTTGCGATGCTAATTTCCTCTTCCACCTCAGGTTGCCGCCGGTCGAATCCTCAACTGCCTCAATGCAGACGCCAATGTCACCGTCGTCTGTCCCGCCTCTGGCTTCAACCCCGAGGTCGCTCATCGCGTTGCTCGCGGCGAGGTCACACATGTCGACCGTCTCTTCGAGCCAACCGACCTCGATGGCGCCGACATGGTTCTCGTTGCCATTGACGACCCTGCCGCCTCTACAACCATCTGGAAGCTGTGCAAGGAGAGGAGAATACCCGCAAACATTGCCGATGTCCCTCCCGAATGCGACTTCTACTTTGGCAGCGTCCACCGCGACGGCCCCCTCCAGATCATGGTCAGCACCAATGGCAAGGGCCCGAGGTTAGCTGCCATCATCCGACGCTTTGTCGCCAAGCAGCTCCCCAAGAATGCTGGAAATGCCATTGAGGCCATTGGCACCCTCAGAGGCAAGCTGCGCAAGATTGCCCCCACCCCAGAGGAAAGTCCCAAGCGCATGGGCTGGTGAGTTACACTCAAAGATTCTCAACATTCATGTCTCGTCATGCTAACAGCGATTGATATTAGGATGACAAAGGTCAGCAACGCCTACGACTGGGGCGAGATGTGCGACCTCACCGACGAAGACATGGAGAACCTTCTCAGGTTCTATTCTTCCAATACCGTTCCCACCATCGACGACCTCATGTCCATGAGAGAGGAACCGGGCTTCCAGGCGGACCTGTTTGACGGTTCCTTTGGCTTCTGCGTCGGCGCATAGACGACTTGCGTGTGTAAATACAAACGGATATGGGTGTTTGAGCGATTTTGGAGTCATTTGCATCGGCGGTCATCTTAGAATGCGTCATCGGCGGCATCACACGAGTTTTTGGGAATCTTGCATACAGGTCATCATCAGCAGTAGCAGCATCATCTTGGCGCAATATGGCACATCTACTTTCATGTAAATCTACGCGGAGGAATCGGGTTTGGAAACTCAAGAGAAAAACGAGGAAGGAAGCTGCAGTCACGGCCAAGTTTCAGCTGGCTCTGGCTGTGGTCTGGCCAACAGGAAAAATACAAACATTGAACTCATGTCAAAACAATGTGCACAACAGCCGAGGCTTTCCATGGCTGTGAGTGAGTCAACAGCGCGATTTATTCTCGTGATGCATGAGGTTCCCCGCGTCAATTGGAAGACTTTGGGACCGCGTCCGACGGATCCACCGTCCGCTCCGTTCAGTGTTGTCAATGCATGACCGGCCGAGCCGCCGATGGGCCGGTTGAATGCGGCGTAAATAGAAACAAGGACTATCCCAAGACGGACAGGACTCGATCACTGGAAGGCGCAAGTGATGGGAGGAAACCCAGATGCGATGAAAGGAGTAATGCGCAAAGAGGCACCATTTCTCGAATAGACACGGATTGTAATTGGTACACTGTTGATTGTCGGAACTTGATTCCAGTCGAAATGGACTTTGGTTGAAGTATTCCGGCAACGGCGCCTACGGCAGCTACAGGAAAGAAGGTACCTTCCGTGGGCGCCTACTAAGTTCGGTAAGGTTGCGACAGCGAATTGACACCTGCTCGCCTGGCAGATCGCACCTGGCACCACTCCCCGCCGCCAGTCGCAACTTCCTCCTCGCACCCCGCGACAACCGTCTTGATCGCAAGACCCAAGAAACGACGACAAATACCCAGATATCGACCCAGAAACACCCTTTTCACGCGTAATTTCACCTGCAGATCTCGATTCATCCGAGACATACGTTTACCCTCGCTGGATACTTCCGTTTCGACGCGTCAAGCATCCTCATTCAGCGCTCCAGCGACCACATCCAGCACTGCGGATAGCTCGTCGCAGCCGCCCTCCTCCACTCCGTGGTCGATTGTGATCCCATCGCAAGATGCCTCCCCGCCGCCGCAAGCAAGCGGCAGAGCCAGACGTCGAACCCGAACCCGACCGGCAGACGCCTTCGTCCCTTGAGGACCGCGAACCCCCGCCGCCATTCTTCAACACCACCTTCTCTACACATCGCGCCTCGCCCCTCTACGTTGGCGCAAATGCTCTTAACTACCCCCGACTGCAGACAATTTCCCAGCGACTGCGCGACACCCTCGTTGGAGATGTGGTCAGAGGAGTACAAGTCGGTCTCGAAGGAAACGACAGCTCCCTGGGGCGCGCTGGTCCGCTTGAGAAGGTCGGTATCCGCTGGGTCGGTGTCGATGCGCTCCTTGGCGGCGCCGAAGATGTCGACGCAGACCTGAGTCGAGACCTGAACCGAGATTTTGGCAGCGATTCCGTCGAGGGAGGAAGCCAAGGCAAGAAGAGGGTCTTGGTGTTTGAAATGCGATACGAGAATGCGCTATGCACAGCTGTGCTACTGCCCTTGTTGACGAACACGACTCCAGACCCGCCGAACGGATTGCAGTCCAACGATAAGATCGAGATACCCGGGTTGCTCAACGGCACTACGTCTACGGATGACCGACACTTTCTGCATCTCCCGCTGCTGCTCCTGCGCATGCCCGCGCCTCTGAAGACAATCATCACCGACTTCCTGGCCGGCACCTTTGACTGTCGCATCAGCCCGATGAGTCTGGGCACAAAGAGCCTTACTGGGGCCTGGGAGAGGTGGATCCAGGACGCAGGTCTTCCGTCGAAAGGGCCCCTTGCCAAAGACATGGTTCTGACGCTGGGCTTTTACATTCCCCCTCCCGAGTCCGCCGAAGGTGAGGACAAGCAGGACCCGGAACCCCTTGGCCTCAAGGCTATCGACATCATCATCCCATCAGACGAGCTTGAACGGTTCACCAAAGAAGGAAGGGCTCTTGGCAAGGCAGCGGGTAGCAAGCGAAAGGCGTCCGCGCAAGGCTACGAAGACGATGAAAGGAAGCGGAAGAGGCTCGCAGGCGGCAAATCTGACGAGGGCTGGGCTTGGAGAGAGGAGGGCAAGAAAGAGCAACAGCAGCCCTTTATCGAAGCAATCGGCGCTTATTTGGACAAACACCTGGCATTGAATCTCTTCCACCCTGGTGTGAGAGTCACCAAGATTGCCTGCGGTGGGTTCGTGTTGTCTGAGGGGCGAGTCAAGGTGTTTATGCCTCCCGGCGATGATGACGAAGTATTTGAGCCTGTGAAGCATCTGGTTGGAGACCTCATCGCCAGCGCTACCGGTTGAATGCGGTGCTGGCTCTCACATCAATACAACTTCCACTACGGCGGTTTCGGACCCGATATTCCAAAGCATGACCACTACCTTACCACGAGCCGATGACAGACAGGGTACATTGGAGTTTATCCATCAATTGGGTGTTTAGAGGGGTCTGTCTATGGCATCTGTCAAGTGGAACACGACTCCCCACTGCCACGTCAAATCTAGGGATTGCAGCGGCCAACTCCATCCCATCGACCGGGGGGCACACTGCTCCCCAGCGGCCAAGGATCATGTCTAGCTTATTTTTTGGAGCGCAGTACGATCCTCAACGCGGATACACGCAATAGCCCGCTTTCTGCAAGTTCAAGCTGCCTGAGGACACAAAGTCAGTTGCCGTTCGATCCATCTCGCTCCCGAGCACAGAGAGAGATGCGTGTCATCGAGCAGCACCAACCCCGTCCATGTTGCCTCGACGAAAAGACATTCCGCAAGTAAGCGCCCCGGCTTTGGGTAAATTATCCAGGGTATCATCCGGCACTCGCCAGGGTTGCATTTGGCGGGGGTTGGCATGGGAAAACCAGAGGCTCGCAAAACTCGGGTCTCGCAAGCCTCGGATGCTACTCCATCGCCTCACTGTCAGCCGCTCTAGATGAGGTTATGCAATCTATTTGAGGTGGCGTCACTCCGCCGCATGACCGACCGGGACTCCGGGATTGAATATGCTTAGATGCCATCGCCTCGTGGCTAATACCAGAATCCCTCTGCGGCCCTGGCATGGAGTGCATTCAGCCGCTGGTTCTGTGGCTTCTTCCCCGCGCCAAGAACGCTCTTCCTACGCTGGCCATGATTTGGTCACGCTCTAAATGGACTTAATATGGCATCCAGTCTAGTTCGGGCCACCACAGTTCAATTGAGAACCCCGCAACGGATTCAGGTCGCAACATCTTCCAGAAAGGGCATCTCAACGAAGCCCTACCCTCTACTGTGGAGAATCGACAATTATCCGCCATGGCGAGCTGGTCCTTTCATCTCGAACCTGCTTGGTCCCGGGGAGCATTCTCGGCCATCAATCTTCCGCTAGTCTCAAATAAGTGTGTAGCAAATAGAACCACTTGACGGCCTATAAAGTTGCCGGCCCTGATAATTCAACGTAACTTTTCATCCCCTCGGCAGCCAAGCCTCATCCGTCTCAACTCAAGTCTGTCGTTCACATCAAGAAAAGCCCGTCATGAAGTTCTCCGCCTCCGTCGTCTGCCTCCTGGCGCCCCTCTCAGCCCTCGCCGCGCCCCTCGAGGAGCGCCAGGCCGCCCAGAGCATCGACGCCCTCATCAAGGCCAAAGGCAAGCAGTACTTTGGCACCTGCAGCGACCAGGGCCGTCTGACCTCGGGCAAAAACGCCGACATCATCAAGGCCAACTTCGGCCAGGTCACCCCCGAGAACTCGATGAAGTGGGACCAGATCGAGCCCAGCCAGGGCCAGTTCAACTGGGCCGGCGCCGACTACCTCGTCAACTTTGCTACGCAGAACAACAAGAAGATCCGCGGCCACACCCTCGTCTGGCATTCGCAGCTCGCGGGCTGGGTCAACAACGTCCGCGACCGCAATGCCTTGACCGCGGTCATTCAGAACCACATTAGCACCATCATGGGGCGATACAAGGGCAAGATCCTGCACTGGGTGCGTTCTGTCTTTCACAGTTATACTCATCAACTATCTCGGGGCCTCACAAGCCAACTAACCATCATGACACCCACAGGACGTCGTCAACGAAATCTTCAACGAGGACGGCTCCCTCCGCTCCTCCGTCTTCTCGCAGGTCCTCGGCGAGGACTTCGTCGGCATCGCCTTCCGCGCCGCCCGCGCCGCCGACCCGGCCGCCAAGCTGTACATCAACGACTACAACCTCGACCAGGCCAGCTACGCCAAGACGCAGGCCATGGCGCGCAAGGTCAAGGAGTGGATCGCCCAGGGCATCCCCATCGACGGCATCGGCTCGCAGGCGCACCTGCAGGCGAACCAGGGCGCCAACGCCCTCGGCGCGCTGCAGACCCTCGCCGGCAGCGGCGTCAAGGAGGTCGCCATCACGGAGCTCGACATCGTCGGCGCCAGCGCGGCTGATTACTCGGCGGTGACCAAGGCGTGTTTGCAGGTTAGCCAGTGTGTTGGTATTACCGTGAGTTTGCCCCCTTTATGATCATGTTTATTCTTGAGAGGCCTGATGTTGACAAATTCCTGATTTAGGTCTGGGGTGTGCGTGACCCCGACAGCTGGAGGGCGCAGAACAACCCGCTCTTGTTCGATGCCAACTTCAACCCCAAGCCCGCATACACTGCGGTTGTTCAGGCCCTTCAGTAAGTGGTTGTGGTGCTGTTTGCGGTGGTCGTGGGGAAAAGGGGGCGATGAGGGTTTTGTTCGTGTACATATTGAGTATTTTCCAGGCTATTCTGGACGTGAATATGAAGGTGATCCTGCTTCTGGTCAGGTCAGGACGTTTGTGCATATTGGTCGAGGCCCATGTCCAACTTGGTTCGCCAGTGAACATGTCTCATGACTTGGATTTTGACTATCAGGGACAGATGTTCCGTCCAGCATCTCTGCCTACCTAAACTGAATGAGAAATAGGAAACAGGTTCGAGATAGAAGGCAGCTCCCTCTCGCGTGAACTGGCGCCTTCAAACCGCTGAAGTAAACACACCAATTGTAGCTCTTGCACCAAGCTTGTATTAAGGAAGTTTCAAGCCCACAGTAAAGTTAACGGCATCGCCCGCGTGATCCACGCTGCGAGTGCCAGAGATGGGTTCTCAAGGTCTTCAGCCACGGAAAAGCTTATTCTTGGCCACGTACATAAGACGCCGCTGCTCGCCAAGCCTCGAGCCCATTTCTCGTCCTCAACCCCATGTCAATACCACTACTTGTTCATACCAAGCTTATAGATCGTTCTCCTATCTTACAAACAACAATGTCGCTTCATAACACTTTTTCCCAAATTTCCTTCCGGTGGCCCGCGCCGATTAATATCAAAACTCCTCATAACCGTCCCCAATCCAGAACCATTTCGCAGCCGGTGTTCTGAGCCATGCGTCTCTCTCCTTCTTCTTTCGTTTCAATTCCTCTTTCCGGATCTTCTGCGGGCTGTCCGTACTATCCGAATCCCAATCGAGGTCACTCAGACCATCCATGGGCCCGTCCATGTCCGAGTCCCAAAGCGAGTCCATATCGTCGTCAAACGCCCACTCAGAGAACGATTCATCCCAATCTTCGTCCGTCAGGTAGTCCTCAACTGGCAAGCCTCCCTTGCGCTCAACGCCCTTCCGGAAGTGCTCTACGAGGTACCCGTAATCCTCGAGTCTGCACTTGACGCCTGCGTTGAGGAGCTTCGTAAAGCAGTACCGCACCGAATCCGCCTGCTCGCATTTCTTCTCCGCCGACCGACTCGTCTCGATCACGTCCAGCGAAATCTCCCCGCGCATGCTGTAGCTGCACACCGGCCCGTGCGGGCAGGTGAAGTGGTCGAACAGCACCCTCTCCAGATTCGGGTACAGCCCGCGCCTGACCGCGTGGCCCAGCCACTTGAACTCCTTGCCGTCCTCCTTCTCGATGAAGTTGGAGACGTGGAGCACCTTGAGCGACGTCGGCAACGTTCGCAGCGCGGACGTGGACCCCTTGCCCATGGCCTTGAGTGCGAAGGTGACCTTCTCGAGCACCTCGAAATCGACCAGGGAGCCGATGAGGTTGCTCGTGTTGCGGGGGCCGATGTGGTCGTCGCCGAGATCGAGTATCTCAAGGGTGCCCTTGTGCCGTTCCCGCAGGGCGTCGATGATGGCCTTGATGCTGATGCCGTGGATCTTGTCCTGGTCGTCGAACCTGAACTCGCGAAGCGCTTTGCAGGACTTGATGATGGCGGCGAGCTGGGGCATGTGGATGTGGATCCCCGTCAGGCCGAGCCTGCTGATATTGCTCCAATCGAACTTGTCGCCCATGTCGTTGACCCTTTGCAGGTGGACGGTGTTGAGATTGGGGGCCAGACTGAAGAGGCGGTACACCTCACCCAACGGGACCCTACGGGGCTCCCCGTTTAGGGAAAAGAAGCGGATGTACTGCAGGCTGTTGAGGCGAATGTCCGTCTCTTCTGCCGAGGGAAACTGCCAGAAAAAGGTTTCGGGGTGGCGGCAGCAGGCACTGGCCTGCACATCGAGCAGCTGGAGGTTCGTCATCTGGAGCACGGCGAGAACCGCCATGAAGCGGGTGGCAGACGGGCTCGGGCGGGGCCAGCCGGCCGGGGGCCGCATGTTTAGCCTCTTGGCCGTCCGGTTGCAGGCTTGTATGGCATCTGGTGTGAGAGGGCTCATCATGTCTTGGCTGGAGGCGGGCATGCAAAAGTAAACCGTCCTCGCCATGGAAGCGACCTCCGGGCTCTGGTCCATGATGATGAGCAGCTGCGCGATCTTGTCATTGTCGAGGTCGAGATGGGACCTTTCCCTGTTGAAGTCGATGTAGATGTCGGTGAAGAATGACCGCCTCCCGAGGTGCCAGAGCTGAGGGCACAGCGACGCCAGCGTGGTTGATGCGCGCTTCGCGGAGCCCGGGAGCTTGAGGAGCGGCTTCTCGATGTGAGCCCCGCGCGAGTGCAAGGGTGCCGTCAGCAGCATGAAGATGTGCTGGATGATTTCCGGCGGGAGGTCCAAGAGGTTCGCCATGGTGGGCCGCTGGCTACGGGACTGGCACGTAGGGACCGATGGAGTGAGGAGCACGTGTTGGATGAGATGGAGCGTTAACGATGCATGCAAGCTGATGTCGTCGCCGGAAAGGGGGCGAGGGAATGAACTCGTCTCTACCTTACTGCCCCCAAAGCTAATTAACGCGTGTCAACCGGTGCCGGCCCGACGCGAGACGCGATGGATCCACCTTTGGCACTTAAACCCCTTGCAACGCATCGTATGCATCTATCGCAAATAGAGCGCGAAGCAGAGTGTTCGTCTCATGTCTTCATTAAACTTTTTGCTTTTTACAACCTGTAATTTGCAATTTGTTGACGTTTGTCGGTCATGAGACAAGTCTGAGTACTCACTGTGAAGTAACATATTGTATTAAAGTGTACTTTTCAGAAACTCTACTAGTATATAGGCTACCCTTATAACTACCCCCTTTCCCTCTTTACTTCTCTTTTCCTACTTTTAGTAATTAAGAAGGTTATAGCTATTACTATACTTATATCGTTAATATAGTTCTTATATTATTAAATTTCCTCTAATTTATTATTATCCTCTTTAAGCTCTTTATTATTAGGTTCTTATAAAGTTCTTATTTATTAATATATTTATTAGAACTATAAATAGATATACTTTATACTTAATTTACTACTCTATAAATATAAAAAATATATAATAATTATAGGATATAAATAAAATATTTATAGTAGTTTTTATAATTATCCTTAATTATAATATTAAGAAAAATATTATTAATAAACTATTTAAGTTTATATTTATTTTCTTTTACTATTTAGATAAAGTAATACTTTACTCCTATTTAGTTATTAGTTATTCTTATAATTATTATTTTAATTAATATAGGTTTGAATATAATAAATTAATCTTATTAAAAATAGTTAATAAGTAGAGGAAGAATAGACCTATGTTCTTCTTCTCATATAATTTTATATAATAAGTTATTTATAAACTATTAAAGTTATTAATAATACTTTTATAAACTTAGATTAAGTTTTCTTAGTTATTATAAATAGTATTACGATATATAGGAAGTATCTATTAAAGTATTAATAGAATTTTTATAGTATAGCGTGAGCCTCTATAAATTAGATGTGGCTAGGCTTAAAAGGTGGAAGATAAAGGTGGAAGAGATAAGTCTGAGTGCACAAACATGATCTGGGGGGGATTCGCCCCGATCATGCCAAATGCGAAGCCCAACGATACGACCCCGCTTTCTCTACTTCTCCTCTGGGCCTCATCAATGACGTCTCGACGTTCCCGTTGAACATAGTGCCGTTCATCAGGAAGAGAGGAGATAGGCGTTGCGAATATGTACCGGCTGCGATGTGAGCAAAATGAGAGGGGATTTCGACGTCATTCCCGCGCTTTCAAAAGCGTTAAGCTTCGGCAATGAGGAATACGAGATTCCAGCAGCCGCACATCTCTCCAAATACCGACCACGAGCCAGCCTAGCACAGCTTCGCTTTAGCGCTTGAAAGAGCCCTTGACATCGAGGAAACACCGACTTTATCTGCCTTTGGTGCGTGCCTGATCCATTGGTCAATGGTCGGTCTACAGCAACGTTGCACCCATCCCCGGCTTTCGGCTCCGGCGCCAAGCAGTTGGCTCGGGGAATTCTTCGCTGGGCATGCGAGCTGTTGGTGAAAGATTTTCAGGCACTCACTCAGACACTGCCACGTTTGCCACGCTGTGAGTTCTGTCAATTCATTGTGAAAGTGAAAGACGGCGGGGCAATACTGTTTTGTTTGTCTTCGGGGTCCCCAAAAGCTTGCTATTCTTGGAAACGGTCACGGGCAATTAGTGCGAACAGTCAAAACTGACTCGACTAGTAGGGAAACCGAAGGCTGGGCCGGTAGCCTCGGGTCGCCCGCGTGGAGCCGGGAGGTTGGCCGGGCGGCGGGTACCCGACTGATCGGCCGCTTGAAAGCAATCGCCTAGCCCAACATTGGCTAAGACTCTCAGGGCCTCGCTGGGGCTGATTGGCACGCTTCTTTTCAATGTCCCGACTTGGCAAGCCTTGACTATTCCCAGCGTGTTTCTGACGTCAAGCAGAACTGTGTTCGGAACCGTCAGCTCATTTAGGGTTGGGTTGAGTCGAGGTCGAGTTTCCCATCACAGACATTGTCAATAGACAACAGACAACAGACAACTCAATGGCAGCGGCCCAACACTCCGTTCCAACCCTGCCACATTTATGGGTCTCCCCACACGCTAGAACAACCATGAGATCATGGGAATCGTGGGCCCATTGACCTGTCAACTTTGTTCGGGTCACTTGCCGAAGCCAATGCCTGCGGCAAACGCTGAATACGAGAGGCTAGAGAGTTTTCCACCGACTCGACCCCACAAGCCATGGAAACAAGGTGAGGCGAACACGAGATGGTGAGGTTTTTCAGCTAAGCTTCTTCAGACTTCTGAGACCTCATGATATGTGATTGATTTGGTATATAAGCTATTGCGTGCTCCTGCTGTAGTCCTTCTATTCTCATCATCACTCTCATCTTCAGCCTCAAGCTTCACTTACAAAGCCTCAATCAACTACCTCCTCTGCCTTCGCCTTACTCTCACCAACTCCTACGCAAAATGTACAATAAGCTTACCATTGCCTTGGCCATGGCCTCGGCCGTCTCTGCTGCTCCCGCCCTCGCGCCTCGCCAGGACCCTTGCCAGGACGCCTACAAGGCTTGCATCGCCGCTGGAACACCAGAGGTCGCCTGCTCTTGCACCCTCACTGCTTGTCTCGGTGAGGACAACGCCCGCAACCGCGAGTACTGTGCTACCGCTACGGCCAACCTGCCCAAGCCCACTTCCACCGGCATCCCCGGCGGCTGCAACCCGGCCCACCCCGGCTCGTGCCCCTCGTCTTACTTCACCTACCCCACCGCCTCGGCCAGTGCGGCTCCGTCCTTCACCTCTATCCCGGGCATCCCCGGAGGTTGCAACCCGGCCCACCCCGGCTCCTGCCCCTCCTCCTACTTTACCTACCCTACTGCTTCGGCCAGCGCGGCGCCAACCTTCACGCCGATCCCGGGCATCCCCGGCGGCTGCAATCCGGCTCATCCTGGCTCTTGCCCCTCTTCCTACTTCACCTACCCCACCGTCTCTGCCACTGCTGCTCCTGCTCCCACCGGCGGCAGCTCTTCTGGCTACACCGATCCCAAGCCTGTTGAGGGCAAGACCTGGACGATCAAGGACCTGACCCGCTACTGCGGCGAGGACAACTCCGGCTGCGACTACAACTTCAAGATCGAGGCTGACGGCGTCACCGAGGCCTGCACCGTCATTCGCATGCCTGGCTCCAACGCTGCCACCGAGAGCTGGTCCAACCAGCCCTGCACCTCCGGCTCCAAGTACCAGATCTCTTGGGGCTACGTTGCCGAGCCCGCCCCTGCCTTCGCTGTCCTCAGCGTCGTCGACGGCAAGGAGATTGCCTGGTTCGGTGTCTCCAACGTCAACGGCCAGCCGGTCACCACCGCTCCCTCCAACCCCTTCGGCTCTGGCCAGTTCGGCAACCTTGGCCCTGAGCAGGTTTACACCTACTAAGCCATTGCCCTGAAAATAATTGCATTTCACCACGATCATTACCATGAAGAACGAATCGACGAATCATAGACATGTCACTCCTTAATCTAATGTTTAAGCATATGCATCATATTACAATAGAATTACTGTAGATAGATAAAATGCGATGAGCTTGACTTGAGTCGAGCATATTAATTGTCTAAACGTCACATATTGTCGTCATGAGATGTAATCAGATTAAGTTTTGTGCGCCCTGGGCGAGGGGCTCTGAGGCCCACGCTTGGGATTTGGTGTAACATGCTCAATGCCCCACGAAACAATGTCCACCTGATTCTGTAACACGGGCACCTCTTCCCTCAGAGTGCTGAGCAAAGAGTATGAAACGGCGGGGGAGGCAACTTTGATATATTGCTGTAACGTATAGTTGTCTCCTCATATGATACACGACAGCGACAAAAGTTCTCGATCCAAATTGTAATCGAATCTTCGTTTCCACCGCCACGGATACCCAGTCATAAGTGCTCTTGATTCGCTATTAAGAGACAGTGAGCCCTATGACGCTGATGGGAACGCCGCTTGCATATTGAGACTCTGCCTGGCTTTGTGACATCCATTTTCTTAATCAGGCCCAACTGACGCTGATCCCGTTTGAGCCCTACAGCCTTGGCGGTGGACCAGGCATAGCGGGAAGAGTATATGATCCCCCTTGGAAACTCCGAATTGGTCCGCCTCCTCGTCGTTTTGCTCCATTTTGTACAGATTCCCTCTGTTATCTTCGTCGTCCAGGAGATTTGTATTTAAAGCGCAACACAGGCTCAGTCAGGTATCAATGGCTGTTATGTCCGGAAACAAGACGAATCTGCTCAAAGATGAGACAGACCGTTCACACGTCCCTGTCTTTCCATTATGGTTGTCAGGCATTAGGATCATACAATTTGTAAGTGTCAAGGTCACCTCACACATGAGTGGCAGGACGGGTTTGTGGCAGCAGATTCTCAACGAAGGCCCTTCGCTAATGGTGCTACGCTACAGATGCAGTCAACAGTGTTATTATTCTGGACTGCTTGGGCCCTCATTAGCAGATATGTAAAAGGTCATGAACTGCCGTGCGATTTCCGTAAGTTGCAAGCCCCTCTAAATGTTTCCGTATTTCCTATCCATCGTTCCCCTCCGTCACAATCTGTCACTCACTGATAGTGTCGAAGTTTATTCATTATTCGCATTTGCCTGGACCTCATCAAGTTTAGCATGGCTCGGTGTCGCCGTTCATTTTCGTCCAAGCATGTACAACTGCTGGGTACACGGGTAAAAGGCGCCGTACAGATCATCCTAAATGACATTTACTAACAAACATTCACAGTGGCCTGGAAATAATCACAGTTAGGTGCTATACAATGGGTGTGCTCAGCTTTGTAGAATCACTGCAAAGCGTTTGACACCGCTGCGACTTCCGGGGGACCGGTATATCCAAAGCATAGCGCTAGACGACCTCGGTTTCGAGAGCATATCCTCAATTCTTTCTGGGGCTCTTTAGTATTGCGTTATGAGACACGATTATGATTAAAAGTTTCGAGGAGCTGCAATAAAGTACAGCGACTTATGTTACGAGAAAGGGTCGAAGGCAATGTTTTCCTTTGTATGGAGCTCAAAAATTTTGGAATAGAAGAATAATTCGGCGCACGCGGAATGCTTATTGTAGCATCAAGAAAAATAAGTGACCCTTTATGTCTTTGTGAAACGTCCATTCGTCTGTTGCGAAATTTCCGCTGGACACCATCGCGATAACAACATCGCGTGTAGTACTCGAACGCATTGCGATCGACCGAATCTTTTCGAAAGCTGAAACTCGATGGGTTTGAATTTAGTCAGGTTAGCAATTCTTATCAAGCTGTTCGACCTGCGTTCATTTCTTCTCTTTATACACTTCTAGATATAATTTTATATAGCATCATAACAGATGCTGCTAGCAAACACGCACTAGTCTACTAATTCTGTGGACGCTAGTTAGGTTGTGAATTGATCGCCTAAATGACAGAAAACAGAAACTAGGGAGAGACGTGCCAAGAGAATAGCTGAAAGCGCCAAGAGTTTACAACGTCATTTGTTTGATGCGAGTAAGATACCTATGTTAGGCAGCTGAGACAAAGCTGCTTAAAGTCCAGTATGAGGTGCATGGCCAAGCAGCGCTTGCGCCCAATGACGGCCACTTATGCATCGGGTCTTGAACAGCCATGAAGATCGCGATATTACACCACATGCATTTCTTGTGTGTGATTACGTGTGGTATCACAGCATATTCTTTCCTCATCGGGCATAGCTGATGTTCATTTCATATGGGATGCCCATCATTGTCACCTTTATGTCCTAGTTATAGACTCCGTCCCCCTCTTCTCGCTCTCCCGTTTGTCTTCTTCCCTGTACGGCTAATAACAATATTGAAACAACATTACAGACTTCATTCGGCGCTACGATTCTGATAGTTTTAGCACGAAACCACCTCCTTAAGAAAAATCCCCGCATCGAAGAACACGAGCGTTCATATGTATATGGCTATTCTAACAAGAGATGTCTGGCCCAAAGACGGAAAGAAACGTTTCCACATTCCCAGAATGCCAGTTTGGGTGGCAGGTCTCAGGATAATGCAAATGGTAAGTGGCACTGTTACTAGTTGTCATCTAGCGTAGGTTAAACATCTGCTCGTCGGCAAGTAAATAATTCACGTCAACCATATGTTAACTGCAGTTACTCAGGCCGTTGCGATTGTGTTAGTAACGTTGACTATTTGGGGACTCACCACCATGCAACAAGCAACAAATTATCGTAGGACAACAGTGGGTGTTCTTCCTAACTATCCTCTGGCCGGATATATTTTCAACCCAAGTAGCTAGCATTTGTCGTACTTGCTGACATTTTCTGCTATATATGCAGTCCTTCAGTGGGACTGAAGGTTTTCGTACGTTATTTACTTATTAGGCTCTATTTCTCTATTTCTCTCTCTCTCTATCTCTCTTTCTGTTTCTCTGATCCTTAGCTGGTACCTATCTATTGACTATGAACCAGCTTTCTCTTGGTTCGCTTTTGCCTGGACCTCGACATACATTATATGGCTTGGACTCGCTGTGATGTTCATTCCTATTATGTATAATCGTTGGGTACACCTGTAAGGCTCAACTAGTATGAGGCATTAAGAGACTCTTGCTGATTGATTGACTTGACAGTGGCCTGGAAATCATCACAGTCGTCCTCTGGATGGTTTGTTTTGCCCTTTTGGCCAGTCACGCAGACGATCTCGACTCACTTGACGCATTCATTATAACATTTGGCCCCAAATATGAGGTATACTACAAGGAAAACATTGAGCCCTTCGCCCAAACCTTTGTTGTTGCAACATTCGCAGCCACGGCTGTCTCTACGTTTAAATTCGTTCTCTTCGTAGTGAGCATTACTGTATTCGGTACGTTGTCATAACTTATTCGAGATTCCGACAGATAATGTCAGCCACGATAAGCTAACTAGTCTAGGGCGCGAGCTCCATCGCCATCAACTAAGTAAGCTGAGGGCCACGGAGGACGGCGCCAAGCTGGAATCTATGGACCATCGCAAGAATCTTGATCTCAGCTCTCATGGAGATGACGGTAGATACCATCATCAGTATGCAGCAGAATTGGGTCACCATCAGCCGACTATAGAGCTGCCGGCTCGTGATCCACGTTATCATACCGCAGAGCTGGAGGGTTCGAGGCAAAGAATAGAAGTAGAGTAGTATTATGGCTTGCGACCCAGTATAGGGAACACGGCTACAGAGCACGATAACTTACAAGCTGTGACTTCATGCTTTCGTTGTCACGATACTTTCGATGGCAGTATCGAAGTGAGAAAGCGTTTGGTGCGCGAAGGCCGAGCGAGTGAGTCTGGATAGCTATCGCCATTAAATTCAAGCCAGGTTGAATACTTTCGTGGGCTGGGCCACTACAGATAGTACGAAAGAAAACTATGGTACTAAGATCTAAAATATGGCGATGGCCCCAGGTGGACTTCCTATTCCTCCTTTCAAATGCAAAGGTGCACTGGTCAGAAAGAAGGACCATCTTTCATGCTCCTCGCATAGTTCCGCCAACGTCTCAAGATCCCACAACTCTCCGAGAGGCGTTCCCCACCAAACAAGCGCAAACTCGTGGATTACAAACGGAGTCCCTACTGGCGGTGGCCAAGCTTCAAAAGAAACAGTGTCACCTGCTAGCGCAGCGAAATGCTTGCTGTACAGCCACCGTACCGTCTCTTCGGTAGATGCAATGCCGATGGCAGGACCCCCGAACTTCATCCCTTTGCGACGCTCTTCTTCGGAAGACTCATTGTACCTCTTGATGTAGCCAGTGCGCATGATTAGGATGTCTCCGGGTCGGCATTCTGTACCTTGCTCGGCAAGAGCCGCCTGGATATCGTTGACCGCGATCGGGCTTGTAGACCAGGCGTCTGGTAGTTTTCCATCGCGCCTTTGGTAGTATCGAACCTTAAAACGCAGTATGTTAGTACCAATTCTTCTATTTGAACGCTTGCAAAACCATCTTTTCTAGCCTCACATACCATGTCGACCAATATACCACGGCCTGTAATGCCTCCGGCCTGACACCAGGTATGAATTCCATTGGTATGTGTCTTCTTTGCTTGTTCGTATGTCAGACCTCCGTAGAAGACCCGGCTCTTTTGATGGGCGAACTATGAGCCGCGTGAGATCTTGCTATTCGTATGGCCTTGTCGTGTACCTACGTGTTTCAGACTATCCCATTGCGAGCTGCCCTGAGTGTTGATGTGTATCTCATCATCCAAGACGAAGGCATTGATGTCTGGATTCTTAGAGGCATCCAGTATCGTGTGCTGTAGTTCTCTTCGACCGAAGCCTGGAGACTTGAATGAATCCAGAGGCCAATCGAGTTGAACCCGGCGACCGGTTTGAATCTCGCAGGCGGCTTCTTTCACGACACAAGGCGTCAGAAGGTTCAAAGCTACAGTTCTTTAGCAGA